AATTAGGATATAGGTTGAGCAAAGAAAGGGACAGAGCATTCAGGGAAGGAAAAGCAAGCAAGGCAGCAGGATTCTGCAGGTTAAGTGAGTGGTTGAGGGAAAGACAGAGCAGGTCATACAGAGCCTTCTGTTCAGGTCACAAGTACTAGTGGAATGATCACTGACCCAACCAAAAAAGGAAGGAGACACCATTGTTAGAAAATGGGAAAACTAACCATAGGCAAGTGCTTTGTCCTGTCTTAGTTAGGGTTTCTATTGCTGAAGAGACACCATCACCACAGCAACTCTAATAAAGCAAAGCATTGAATTGGGGCTGGCTTACAGGTTCAGAAGTTTAGGCCATTATCATCATGGTGGGAAGCAAGGTGATACACATGCAGACATGGTGGTGGAGAAGGAGCCAAGAGTTCTACATCTGAATCTGCAGGGAGCAGAAAGACAGAGTAACACTGGGTCTGGCTTGAGGACCAGAAACCTCAAAGCCCACTCCTAGTGACACACTTCTTCCAACAAACCCATACCTATTCCAACAAGGCCACATCTCCTAATAGTGTCATTCCCTGGTAGCCAAACATTCAAATCTATGAGTCTGGGAGCCAGTCTCATCCAGATCACCATAGCCTCAGATCCACTGAGTGACAATGGTCATGACTCTGTCTGGGATGCCAAGAGCTGATGGCTTGACCAAGCAGGGTAGAACATAGGAGAAGCTTCAGTTCTGGGGTTCCCCAGAAGAACTGTGCCTGTTCTGCTTCTAGGCTCAGGCCATACAGGGGATCTGTGGCAAAGTAGCCATTGTGGGGGGTCAGGAGGCCATGGAAACAAGACGGGAAGTTTTTGGCACTTCCATGGCCTTCCTGGCTGCTGGAGCTTGGCTACAGAAAGAGCTGTAAGAGCATGCATTTTCCATTCCCCTCCCCATCTATGCTCAGGCATGGATATCAGTTGGGGTTTTGTGAAGCAGGATGGGGCTACCAAGTTGCCTGCCTTCATGGCAATGTGAGAATCCAGTGTGGATGAAGGTGCAGCCTTGGGCCTATGCTCTTTGAGAAACTTCAAGAGCACTGCCCAGTCAGTATGCAGGACTGTGGCTTTCCAGAGCAGGAAGGAATTGGGTCTGTGGCTTAACCTGCTCTTGTACTGGAGAGAACAGAGGTGACCTATGTGGCTGGACAGGCAGGGCTGCCCCTGGGTAGGCAGGAGGTTCTGTCCAGCATTTCAAGACCCCTAAGAGAGGGAGATAGTGGCTCTTTGTCTAAACTGATGGGCTGAAGCAGAGGGGACAAGGAGGGCACTGGGCACTTCCCTGGTATAGTCTGCTCAGGAGGGCAGAGGGGCTGAAGAGCTGCAACCCTAATCACTGCTTTCATCACTCTGGTTTCCTGTAGTTTCTCAGAGATGCTGGCTCAAGAGCAAAGTGTTTTCCCAGTATCAGAGAATACAGTAGAGCCTAGGAGCCCTGGAGGCAACCGTTTGCCAAAAGAGTTCCCATAAAGTTGGTTCTTCTGAGCTACTGCATGGAAGTGACAATTGTTGGTTTGGGTTGCAGAGGTAATTAGATATATAGCCAACCCCCATCCTTTCTGACATCTTGACTTAGCTTGCCTGCACCAGTCCTTTGCTTTACCTTTAACACTCACTACTCAAAACTACCAGAAACTACCTTGCCTCATGAAGAGAGTTCCAAATTCTAATGTTATTTCTCTAAGGATAGTGAACAGTGCTGTGCCACAAAGGATACTACAAGTTGTGGTACATGGAAATGAAACCATTTGTTCTTATTAGAATAAACTGCAGCTGTGACATGGCCCTAGTATTTTGGTTGGCTGAAGGGGACTCAAAAGGCAGTATTCTGAGTTCAAAACAGTGGACAAGTGCCTTTCCCATCACCTTCCAATAGAACCTCGGAAAAGTTCACAGCATCCTGAGTGTTACTTTAGAAAGAAAGCAGGACTGCACAAAATGGCAACCTCTCTATTTTGCATAGACTTAAAGTCAGAACAAAATAAACAAAACAAAACAAAGAAAGAAGTGCAGAAAATGTGGCTCCACTGTTAAGAGCACTGGCTGGTCTTCCAGAGGACCCGGGTTTAATTCTCCGAACCCACATGGCAGCTGTCTGTAAAACAACTGTCTATAACTCCAGTGATCCGACATCCTCACACCAATACACATAAAATAAAATTAAAATGGACAACAACAACAACAACAACAAAAATTCCACAATACATGAAAACCCCACAATACACAATACCCAATTCTGCCATTGTGTGGGAGGGGATTTTCCCGCCTTAAGGCACTGAACTTAAGAAAAGAGACAGGTGAGTTAAAGCCAGTCAAGGCTGCTGGAGGAGTCACAGGGAAACTCATCAAAAGGCATGGGCTCCGCATGGAGGTCTCTAATCTACTTTTTCCATGTGAGAAGCACCCTCAGCACCTTCAAATGTGTAGTGGGTTTCATCAGGAGCAGCCACAGTGGGCTCCTCTGCTGTCACTTTATCTTCATCAGTGTCTAAAAAGAAAGACATGAGTTTTGAGGCAGATGTCACTAAGTCTGTCCAAGGGCCCAGCCAGTTCCACAACTTACCACCTGTAGCTCAAAAACCTCTTAACTCACCCAGGCCTAGTTTCATCATGCAGTAAAAGTTCTTGCTGAGTAAGTATAACAATCAAGGTTTCAATCTCAGCAACCTAATTGTCAACATTCTCTTCTGATCTCCACATGTAATCATTCTAAAATCTTACCATATACACCAGTTTTGAAAAATTAACTAGCTGAAAGCAGTAATGAATTGAGAATGGTATGGAGGAAAAGACACACACCAGGATATCCTCCCTCAACACATTTATGCCAGGATTAGAAATGGTTATATATGAGGTCAGCCTTGGTTGTGCCAATGTCTGTCCAGTAGGGCCAGTCTGCAATCCTGAGGGTTGGGAATGATGTCAATTTTCATTTCTTTACTGCTTCCAACTTAGGAAAGTCTCTCAGGCTCACATAAAGAATCTTTTCCAAGGCCTGGAAATCCATATACAGAGTCATATTATTCAATTTGTCCAAATAGTCCCTTTTAAAATTATGGCATAGCTTTGGGATCAACTCCTGGATTATTCCTCTCAATCAATCTCACTAAAAGTCACAGAACACTTCAATTCTCCCACTTCTATAAAGCTTTAAAAATATCACAGGACACTCAGATCTCAAGTATTAGAGACCAACTCCCAATGGAAAATTTCCTTCTTTGAACAGAAAGTACTGATGATAGGAAACATAAGCTAAACCATTTCTGCATTACAGAAAAAGGTCTCTACCTCTTCCTCTGGCATCTAAGAATGAAAGGATCGCATATTACCATGGACCATACAATGGCTGCCCTTTTTCAAATCCAAGAGATCACCTGTTTCAATTAAGTCCTTATTCACAGGCACAGGTAAAACTGCTTTCACCTCCCAAGAGATGAAAAATACCATTTCAAAAAATATCTTGAAGCTACAGTGAGGAAGCAAAACAAGAATGGGAAATATTCAAAGGATGGTTCTTCAGTCAATGGAAAGTCGGACTTTCTGAACTGTATACTGGAGCTCAGCTAGGTGGCTCAGAACCTCAACACCTGCCAATATATCTTGTAATATCCAGAATTATAGTTAGCTAGATTAAGAAATGCACACAACAACTGTACACATATAAATGGGTAATTTGTTAATTAGACCTTCTTCATCATTTGGGCAAAGAACAAACTTTAAGAGAAATAGTAGCCATGTCTCTGTGCTGCTCCCCAAGGACATAAGTGGATGAAACAGTTGTGCAGTTGTATGATATATTGTGTATCCTAACAAAATTGACCTGAAGATCAGAGGACAGAACGAGCCACTAGATTAAACATAGAGGCCAGGCAGTGGTGGTACACACCTTTAATCCTGACACTTGGGAGGTAGAGATCTGTCTGGATCTGTGAGTTCAAAATTACCCTGGATTACATGAGATTGACTCAGTCTAGGACAGAAAACAGAGCCAGACAATGGTGACACACACCTTTAATCCCAGTACTGGGAAGCATACACGCCTTGAATCCCAGGAAGTGATGGCTCAGCAGAGAAAGTTACAGAAGGCATGAGGAGACAGGAAATAAAGCCTTTTTGGCTAAGGAACCCCTTTCGGCTAGAGGCGGTTCAGCTAGAAAGCCTTTTCAGGCTGAGGAGTTGGTGAGGTAAGAGGTGGTGGCTGTGGCTTGCTCTGCTTCTCTGATCTTTCAGCTTTCACCCTAATATCTGGCTCAGGGTTTTTTATTATGATTCGAACAACATGCAGTGCCACCTAGCAGGGCAAGAGAACCCCAGGACACATGTGAGGATGTGCTCAGGGGGCAATTAAATCAGGACAAAGAGCCAAAGAGGTAAAAGCTCCACCATGACTGTTAACTGTGAAGGCTCCCATAGGCTCTAAACACAAGTAAAAAATTTGCTCAATCTGTCTAGACAGCCTAGTCACTGCAGACCATGGTGGGAAGGGAAACAGAAGGGAAGCAAGTGCCACCATACACCTTCCCACCACCCAGCATCTAGTCACTGCTGTGGGGACCAGAAACTTCCATAACAATCTGAGTTCTTGAGAGAGGAGGAACCTATGAATCTTCCTGTTCCTGTCCCTTCCCCATTTCACTTCCTCCTCCACTAGCAGCACAGGAATGATCTACAGAAGGAGAACTCAGTGAGTTCAAACATCCCTGCTAATCATTGGACCCCTCCCCCCAAACCAAGAACTTTGGGAAAAGATGTCCAGGACAGGTGGCACGGTCAGCATTGTCCAGCCATGCTGAATAATGCATGGAACAGACCTCCAGTGAGCAGATGCATTAGACCCAGCAGCTTCGTCTAGAAGGGCAAGGCAAACAAGGCTGTGTGCGGTGTAGGCGGCTCCAACCAATGGCGGTGGCCACCTGGGCAGAGCAAGTTAGGCTTGCCTTGGGCGCTGCTAATCTAGTCGCCCCGGGGAGACTTACCGAGTGCTTGTGCTGCACATAGTCAGGTGCAGCTAGAAGACTTTCCGGGCACATCACCTCACAGGGCGCCTGGCTGACAGGAGCCTTTGGGACAACAGAGAGGATCATGGGGAGGCTCCTGGGAAGGAGTCCCCGGGAGCGGCCAGGGGCAAGCCGACAAGGCTTTACCTGGACAGAGTGAGGTGTCCGGGATAGACTCCCACACACACATTGACCTGCCCGGGGCGGGGGGGGGGGGGTGACTGTAAATGGGGTGACGCTAACACGTGCACAGGGATCTCCATTAAGTCTGGGAGTCACAGCTCTGGTCCCTCCCTCTGATTCCTTTGCTTTAAAGGAGTGGCATCAAGCGGTCCAACTGCAGATGCCCGCCCCCTTGACCTCTGAACGTCAGGGTTGCACGTTGTGGAGGGGGCGGGGAGTAGCTGAAACCTGTACGTTGCTGGAAGGTTTTCTCCGGCTGCCTGAAAAGGAAGGAGCCTCAATGGGGCTATTGCAATTTCTTCCTACGTTGTCGTGGCAGGGTCTGGTGCCAAGGTAAGGGAGAACCTCAGCCTCAGCCCTTTTCTGGCCAAGGATGTGGGAGTACAGCCAGGAGCTAGTGCTGGTGCTGGACATTTTGACTGAGTTCATTCTAGAGGCTGAGGACATTGTTAGTGGGGGAGGGGAATGTAACAGTGAACACAAAGAAAAGACCCAAAGCTGCCTTCCTTTCCAGTGCTTTGAAATAAGAAAGACAGGCTGGGATCTAGCTCAGTTAGCAGAGTGCTTGCTTAGCATTCACAGAGCCATGGATTCGATCTATGTATCTAGGACATGGTGGTACATACCTCCAGTACCAGCACTTAAGTGGTGAAGGCAGGAGGAACAGTTCAAGGTCATCTTCAGGTACATCTTGTCTTTAAAAAAAAAAAATCTAGACCTAGGCCACAGTCTAAATGTCTTGACTATAACCTGTCTCTTCTCTGTGGCCCTATAAGAGTGTACTTCAGCCCCTCTCAAGACAAAATGTTCCATTCTTCTGAAGGAGACCCCCCTACACATAGTGGAGGCTTCCTCCTGTACACTTGATTAGGCACAAACCACACCCAAACACCTGTTTTCACAGAGAGAGATCTTTTATTAAACAGGGAAGAAAAGTTAAAATGGCTGCTTTCAAGACTCAGGCAGAAAAACAAAATTAGATATCCTTGCAGGTGTAGTTTTAAGAATTAAAAAATGGGAGGTCTTTATTAGAATGGGCTAGGATATGGTGGTGTATTTTAATTAGGCATGTTAATTAGACAAACCAAAGGGGGCTCTTGACTGGACCTTGGTAGTCAGCTCCAGGAGGAAGAAGTGACCAAATAACAAATTAGATCTTGGTGGCTAGCTTTGGGAATATAATCTAATGGTTTAAGCAAGGTAGAAGGAATTGGTGCTAATTAGGCAAGGCTGCCAGAGCCACATGCTCAAGTGAGCTAGTGTCCCTTCACTCCCCGTTACCCAGGTCCACACTAGGGTGCCAGCCTTCCTTCCTGTCCAAAGGATTAGGCCACAGGAACACACAGAGAACTGTGGAGAGGAAAAAGTATTTATTCAATCAGAGGGCCTTTGAAGGCACCTGGTATATGCCAGTATAAAAAAGCCAGTAAATGACAAGGAATGGAGACATGGAGAACAGGTGTAGAAGAAAGAGGGAGAGTGAAAATCATCAGATTACGTGATACAGCTGTCAGGCCTGAAACCTCCATCCCATCTTTGGAATAGGCACATAGCTCTCTCACAGCCTAGGAGCCTCTTTTGTTTGGCTTAAGCAGGGATCAGTCAGAGCTATAAGAGATTGTGCTCCCTTGCCATTCAGATTTCTCAAACTCATATTCATCTATAGAGGCTTTCTTGCTGGACCCTGGATGTGGGAGTACAGCAAAACCCAGAAGAATGCAGAAGTCAGCTAGAAGAGTAAACCTGAACCCCTGCTAGTTCTGGGCAGAAAAAGAAATGAGCAGGGAGCAGGCAGGCAGTGCATTTCTTCTGTTCCCATATTGTCACAAAACCATACATTTCCCATAGCCAGGCCTAGAAAGAAAAAAGAAGGCCATGATAATTCCCATTGTCTCTGCCTCATCAGGTTTGGCTTTCCTAGAAGAAGGAAGGCAGGGTCAAGGAAAGTCAAGGCTAGCCTTGCCTTCACATAGCATAATTTCCAAACCCCAGGATACTTCTTGGGGGATTGTTTCTTGAGACTGTCATCCTGTCTACCTCAATCCATTCCCACTGCCCCCTGCAACCTCCCATCTTAGGCATTCAGCCCCTACCAGCAGTAGCATGAAACTTGGAGACTATAGACTCTGATATTGTTATCCCTCACTATACTAAGGGACACCTCTGGGTCTCTTAATTAAATCCTGTCTGATGTCACCAAAGTCCCTCATGGCCCTATTCACTTGAGCCCTAAGCACATGCAGAGGCTAGCAAGGTTTTGGAATAGGTAAAGAGGGACATGATGGTGATGAACCAGGTATCATGCTTAAAGACCAAAGAAAGGTAGTAGTACTCTCCCGCATTGCACAATTGCAGGGGAGCAGACAAGCCTGACAACCAGTGAAACAGGCAGCCAGCAGCAATCCTTATCAGGCTGTAAGGAACAGGAAATGCCTCAGCCAAGGTTGATCTTCAGAAACCTTTGGTACTGGTTACCTTTCAGGGTGTTGATAGCCAGGGGTTCCGTGATGGTGCCTGTAAGACACTTAATTTTTTTTCTTTCTTTGAGACAAATTCTCATGTATCCTAGCTGGCCTCAAACTCACTATGTAGCCAAGAATGACCTTGAACTTCTGGTCTTCCACTTCATACACCATTGATAGGATTACAGTTTTGAACTACCATATGTGGCCTATGAAATGTTCTGAATCACACTCATAGTTTCATGTTAATTACACAATCAATCCCTAACAACTGAGTCACATCCCAGGTCCCAAATATTGGAGTAGATCTTTTTTTCTGTGAAGATATATGTGCGTTTTTACACACATTCACACATCTGTCTGGTTACTCACCTAAGAATTGTATACATGGCCTGGAGAGATGTCTAAGTGATCTAGAGTACTGCTCTTGCAGAACACCTAGGTCCAGTTCTCAGCATCTACATGAAGCAATTCAGAACTACCTGTAACTCAAGCTGCCATGGATCTGGTGCCCTCATCTGGCATTTTGGGTTATGTTGCACGATTCTTAAATAGTCAATAAAACCCAGAGCCACATATCAGGCTGAAAGCTGAAAGATCAGAGAAGCAGAGCAAGCTACAGTCACCACCTCTTACCTCACCAACTCCTCAGCCTGAAAGAACCAAGTTCCTGTCTCCTCCCACCTTATATTCCTTTCTCTGTCCAACCATATCACTTCCTGTCTCAACCTTCCTAGTGCTGAGATTAAAGGTGTGTGATCCCAAGTCCTGGAATTAAAGGTGTGTGCCACCACTGCCTGGCTCTGTTTCTCTTTTGGACTGGATCAATCTAGTGTAGCCCAGTGTGGCCTTGAAATCACAGAAATCCAGATGGATCTCTGCCTCTGCCTCCTGAGTGCTAGGATTTAAGGTGTGTGCTATCACTGCCTGACTTTCCTCTGATCTTCAGGCAAGCTTTATTTCTTGTATTACAAACAGTATGTCTCCACAGGGTGATGCACTCATATTCACACACTGCCACAAACATTACACATAATTTAAGAGTAATTTTAGAAATCTTAGCTGGACATGGTGGCACATGAACTTGAGGAGCAGAGGCAGGTGGATCTCTGAATTCAAAGCCATCCTGTTCTATATAGTGAGTTCTTGGACAGCTAAAGCTTTATAGTGAAACCCTGTCTTAATAAAAGAAAAAGCAACAAAATAATACTTTTAAAATCCAAAAGCAAAATATTTCATACAAGTTATGCATAAATTATGTCTTCATTTGAAAAAGAGTGGTTCCTTAGTACTTTGGTTTTTTTTTTCCTTCTTGCCCTGCTACAGATAGAACCCATGAGTCACACATGCTAGAGAAGCCCTCTACCACAGCCCTCTACCCAGCCCTACTATCATACTTTCTTGGTGTTCCTCTTAGACCTGTTGATCCCACAGGTCTGCACCCTATCCTCTACTTACCCACATGAAAACCACTGTGAGGCTCAATCCTAACCAAAGACATTGAAATTCAAGAACAAAGAACAGGAATGAAGTAGCTTCCTGCAAAAGAGAGACTTGGACTTGTCACCTGGCCCTCTCTGGGCCTGGGCCTCTTCACTATAAAACAGAAGAGATGTTTCCAGCCTCAGGGAGGGTGCATAGGCCCATGTAGATCCAGCTATGCAGAAGGTTCCCCATGTTGCCCACATGCCTCCCTTGTTCTTGCTCTAGAATCTGGCTGAGGTAGCCTTACTCCAGCCAGGTACTGGGAAGTGTCCAAATAAGAAAACATGGAGAATTTTTTTTCTTTCTCATTAGTCATTCACTCAATGTCTTTTTCACTCCTCTTCATTTAAATACTAAGTTCATGATTGTCACTTTGTTACCCTTGTATGTAGCAGTAACCCTGTGTGTGCACAGAAGGATGTAATATTATCTAACAACAGACATTTGGCTTCCTGAACAGTCACCCAAAGTTCCTCTACAATGGTGGGGAATCCATCTTCAGCCTACAGGCCCAGAATATCTGACAGACTTTTCAGTGAAGCAGGAAATTTGAAGGACAACATATTTTTGAGACAGGGCCTCTAGCCAGCCTGGAACTGACTAGATAGACCAGCCTGGCAAAGAATCAATGATATTCATATCCTTCTGCCTCTGGAGGTGTGGTAATGACTTCAAGCCTAGCTCCACCATATCTTTTCCTAATCTTAGCCATTCGGACCAGACTGAGAAGACTAAGCTTTTATTTTAACTTTCAAATTACATGACTAAGGATGATGAGTACTTTAAAACATATGATTTAGGTGGTTGTAAGAAAGCCCCAACCTTAAGGAGCATTGCTTGCTCTTCCAGAAGACAGTTGCTTCTCAGCTCCCACATTACAGCTCACAAATGTAACTGTCTCGGGTATCAGATTCGCCCTGCTGTTTTCTGTGGTCACATCCATACATGCAGGCCAAACATACATATTCAAAAAATAAAAATGATTCTTTTAAAACTTAAAATATTTATATACGTGTGTGTATCTGATAGCTGTGTGTATGTGTGTATGTATGTGTGTGTGTGTGTGTGTGTGTGTGTGTGTGTGTGTGTATGTAGATAGGTAGGTAGGTAAATAGATAGATGCTTTTGGTTTTTGTGCTTTTGTTTAAGGAAATCTCTGTAATTTTTAGATTATGCCATTTTTATACTGGATGTATTGGACTTCATATGTTCATATTAAGCATTTTGATATGTTTATATCAGCATTTTATATCTGTATACTGATGATTTCTGAGAAGAAAACCTGCTAAATGTTTATCTGACTTTTTAGCTGCCACACCTTCTGTGTATACTTCTCTGACCTTTGCAGATTTTTACACCATGGAATCCCTTTGTCAGCTGCCTTGTTTATTTTCTGTTCTCCTGGAATCTCTTACAGACAGTATTTGCTTATGTTTGAACTAGTAATCATTTAGTCATGTTTTTCATCTATATAGAGACCACTATTTTTCCTAGCACAAAATGTTCAAAGGTCTCTCTCTCTTTTACTGGGTTCATATTTAACCCATTTTCCTAAATTGGGTATCTCAGTGTGTTTTTCATTGCTGGGTTCTATGTTCTGTTCTCTTTTCTGTGGTAATATTTTGTTTGGACTCTCAAATAAAATTTTCCTTAAGATCAGAGCCAGCCCCTAGATTAAACATAGAAGTCAGGCAGTAGTGGCACACGCCTTTAATCCTAGCACTCAGGAGGCAGAGGCAGAGATCCATCTGGATTTCTGTGATTTCAAGGCCACACTGGGCTACACTAGATTGATCCAGTCCAAAAGAGAAACAGAGCCAGGCAGTGGTGGCACACACCTTTAATTCCAGGACTTGGGATCACACACCTTTAATCTCAGCACTAGGAAGATTGAGACAGGAAGTGATATGGTTGGACAGAGAAAGGAATATAAGGTGGGAGGAGACAGGAACTTGGTTCTTTCAGGCTGAGGAGTTGGTGAGGTAAGAGGTGGTGACTGTAGCTTGCTCTGCTTCTCTGATCTTTCAGCTTTCAGCCTGATATCTGACTCCGGGTTTTTATTAAGATCATTTAGGATTCGTGCAACACCTTTTTACATTTTTTTCTTCATTCACAGGACCATACTCTATCTCTGGGGCTCTGTATGATGATTTGAAGTCAGGCCTTGTGATACCTCCAGGAGTACCTATTCTTAGGATTAATTTTGATTTTTATGGTTTTTCTCTTTCCATGTTTACTTTTATGAAGAATGTCAGCTAATGGGGATTGCATCAATCTGTCAGCTGCTGCTAGTAACATAAATGAGCCAATTCATTTTCTGTCAGAGTGTGTTGAACTTTTGTACTATCAATTTTATTATTTTCCTGTGTGCCTTAGATGACTCCTCATAAAAGTCATTTACCTCATTATTTAAGCTTATTCCTAGATTTTTTTTTAAAGCAAAGTGGTTTCACTAATTCGTCTTTGACATTCTCATTATAGGTGTATAGGAAAAGTAGTGATTTTGTGTGTTTTGTAGTTTTCAATAATACTTAAAGCACCTGTCAATTCGGTGAGCTTCCCAGGATGACTGTTGTAAGTTATTTGTGTGATCACATCATCATTACAAAGGCCTTTGATGCTTTCCTGTACTACCAGTATCTCCTTATATTCTTTTTTCTTATTCAAATTTCTCTAGGTCACATCTATTGATCTGGATGAAATAAGACCTGAGAGCACTTGCCTTTTCCTCTTCTAACTGTGTTCCTGCTGATGCTTTTTGTCTCTAAGACAAAAACTAGGTGTGACAATGGGAGTCTTTACTCTGTTGAGCTGTGTGCCATTTCTTTCTAGATCCTTCAGGAGTTTATCACAAAATCTTGCTGACCTGTGTGTTATGACATTTTCATTTCTACTGAGATTTTCATCCTCATTTGTCTCTATTTACTTTGTGTATTTTTTCTTTGATTTATGTATATATTTTTAAATATATTCTGGTTTGTTAAATTGCTGGCAGTATTTTTCTTCCCTCAAGTTGGAAATAGTGGGTTTTTAGTTTGATGTGTTAGATTCTTCATGTAAAATATCCTATTTCCTGTGTTCTTATGGATAATTTATCTCTGAAATTTTTATGTATACTTTGCTACTAATTATGTTCTGCAGTACTGCTTGAGTGAATAACATGTTTTATTTCATAATATTCTTCAAATGTACTTCCTTCTCCATGAATTTGAGGGACCAATGTTTGTCAGTGAAATGAAATGTTTGACTGTTATTTTCTCTCAACACACTAAATAGATCCATGCTAATTTTTTTTTCTGGAGAAACGTGGACAAGACCTCTGATATCAGTATGGTGTTTGGAACTTTTTATGTGGTTTGGCATTTTCCATAACAGAGTCATATTAATTTTAGGTTTGTGTTTTGATACCTTGATGTGAAATGTCAACAAGAATTCTGGTCTTTGTACCTGCAACAAAAACTTAGAGAAGAATTATCAGAGAGAATGGCTGTGTCTCCAGTGAATGTACCCCAGGTCAGTGTCCTATCTGCATTACTTTGAAAATTGCTTTTATATTGAAAGCATGTGAGCTTTTAATTCTCTGCCTTGGGTAATGTCATCTAAAGTATTTATTTCTTTTACTTCCCTTATAAACAAGATGTATTTTTCATGGTAGTAAAACTTGCAATTGTGAAAAGGATTCCATTGTGAATGATGATCCAAGAAATATAATGATGGACTTTTTTTTACTGAAATAAGAAGATCTCATATCCTACATAGGTTGCATTTCAGGGATGATCAAGTTTGAGAATCAGGGTTTTGGAAGTGTCTATGAAAATTCATGTCACTTTTTGCTGGTATCACTAATTCATATATGGAAAATCAGAATTAGAAGAAACTTGCTCTCTTGAGTCCTAAGTACTCTTTCAGCACCATAGCGAGCTCAAATGATGGAAGGGGTGTGTGCCTTGCTCTTGTCATGAAACTGATGTATCTGTGAGGAGATGCAGATTGCAGTATACTGGTTTCTCTCTTGGGTGTTTGATATCAGGCAGTGATAATGTGCCTATGTTTTTTTTTTTGTTGTTTGGTTTTGTTCTTTTCTTGTTTTGTTTTGTTTGTGTTGAGTCCTGAAATCTATTTGTCTCAGTTTAGTTCCTACTAATATCTTTCTTTTGAATCCAGTTTTTAGTGGTAAGTTCTCAATAGACAAAAAAGTACTTTCTCTTTGTATTTCATTTATTTTTCCAAGAGCATACCATTGTGAAAGCACTGTCTGTCCGACCTCTATCTTATATCATGTAGAATATATCAGAAAGAATTCCCTAGAGAGTATTTACTTGTTGCTCTGCATAAGCCATCAATTTTCAAGTATAAATGAGTTCTCTCCTTAATGACTTTGTTCTCTTCTCAACTTTTTGAAGTAGTTCGTCCAACTTATGTTTTTTCTTTCCCTGAAGCTACTGTATTGCATAGATAGAGATTTTGAAGAGAAGTTGATATGGATAGATTTCCATTTCTGTCTTTAAATATATATATATATATAATATATGTATATATACACATTATTTAAATATACAAATGTCTATCTTCATGGTATATGTATGTCATATGCCTGCACAATAGCCATGAAGCTCTGAGTTTGTCATCAATCATTTAGTAGTAGAGTCAGGAACATTACTCACCTGGCATGTGTGTAGTGAGACTCAAACTGGGTTTCTCTGCAAGAAAAACATGTGCCTTTTACCACAGAGCCATCTCACCAGCCCCCAAGTTTACATTCATGTTGAAGATTTTTGGAGGAACTGGTAGACAACCTTGTGTTTGCTAATTTCCAAAAAATAAAAGAATCATAAATGATACTTGTCTATTCAGGGTAAAATTCTCTTAGATGATTGAGCTCAGATACTGAAGAAAAGAATAGAGTAAAATTACAAGATTAAAATTTTCAATTAAGCAAAACTCATGAGCATTAATATATTCAAAATCAATAAAGAGTATTATTCTCACAAACCTTAATACATTCGTTGTGACCACAGATCATCTTTTTACTTCATCTCAATGTATTGTCACATGGGCTGTTTATATACATTTTTATATATATTGTATAATGAAACCACATATGAATTTTGTGAGATTGTTATTTAACTGTACTAGTATGTTTATTTTTAGAGAAATTTAGATAATTCTAACATTATCTAGTGTTGATTTTTTTCTATTTATCTCATAATTCTCAAAATGTCTCAAAGAATATTTGATTGCATTGGTTATCTAGTACTTTGGATTAAGAAGTGTTGTTGTGCTCCTTATAGTTAAAATACCGAAACTATCTGACTTCTAATGCATCAATAAGTTGTGCCTTCCACATTCTACCTCTTTATTTTACAATGGGTACATCATTGAACCAGCACATCAGCATCCCAACTAAGCATGTTAGAATAGAGTTAGGTGATGCCCAGCTGTCGACAGGATTTATCCATGGTCCATATTTGAGCAAGGATGAGAGTTGTTATATTTGGAAGACTGGTTTGCTCCTTATAACTTGTCCATCTGAGATGAGACACTGTATTTGGTGTATCAACATACTGTTGATAATGGAAAATCCTTGGATCTAGTCCTCAAATGTATTTCTTATTTTCCCTAAAAGATAATTGTTGGTAAAACTATTTTGCCATTTTTATAGATATAGAAAATACAATAAAGAGTATTCTGGAATGTTTCTTTTTATAATCAACTTTCGTTTTTGTTTTATCCATATGTATCTATCTATTTGACTGAATGTATGCATTAATGCTGTCTGTACCTCCTGCCTGTAGAGTTCAGAAGAGCTTTGGATTAGGGATCTTACTTAGGGATTCAGTTGCTGTGAAGAGACACCATTACCACAGGAAGTTTAATAAGAAAGACATTTAATTAAAGATAGCTTACAGTTTCAGAGGCTTAGTCCATTATCATCATGGTGAGAGACATGGCAGCATATAGGCAGGCATGGTGCTAGAGTAGGACCTGAGAATTCTACATCTTTCCCCACAGGAAACAGAGAGGGAACTGAGTCACTGTGAGAGTGGCTTGAGCATAAAAGACCTCAAAGCCCACACCCACAGTTATACATCTCCCCCTAAAGGGCCACATATTCTGCAACAAAGCCACACTTCCTATTAGTGCCATTCCCTTAGTGGCCATTTTCTTTCAAATAGCTATATTACACTCCCTGGCCCCACTTTGGGGCTTGTAGTCATACCATAATGCAAAATGCATCCATTCTTATTTCAAAAGTTTCCATAGTTTATAACAGCTTCAAATTCATTTAAAAGTCTAAATTTCAAAGTCTCTTCTGAGATTCATGCAATCTCTTAACTGTAATCCCTTGTAAACTCCAAATCAAAAAGCCAATCACATATTTCCAACATATAATGGCGCAGGATATACGTTGACATCCAAATACATAGGGAAGAGAACATAATGAGGAAAACTGGACCAAAGAAAAACTGAAAAATAGCCAAACAAACTCCAAACTCTGCATCCCCATATCTGATGTCAAAGCTTTTCAGATCTCAGTTCTTTTCAGCTTTGTTTACTGCAACTTACTTCTCTTGGGCTGGTTCCATTCCCTGTTAGCACCTCTTTTTGACAGGTATCTATCTGATGGTTCTGGCATCCCCAAACTCTTGAGGTCTCAAAGCAATTCAGGCTTCACCTCCATAGCTTCACACAATGGCCTCCCTGAGTCTCCATGTAGGGACACCACTGCTACACACCTTGCCTCAGCCACTTTCTTTAGTCATGGAAGAAGATTTCATAACCCCTTTCTTCTATTCTTGCCTCTCAACCCAGAACCACGTGACAGAAGCTGCCAAGTTCTGTTGCTTGCTGGGACTGGAATATGGTGCCCTTGTTCAATTACATCTTCACCTGTTTTCTGTGTTTTACTTTGTTTCTTTTACTACCCAAGCTTGACTATTCTGTTACTCGTTCTATAGACCAGGATGTCCTCAAACATAGAGATCCCCTTGCATCTGACTTCACAGTACTGGGAAATGGGTTGCACCACCATACCTGGCTCTAAACTGTTAATTCCTTTTCACAAGTTGGAAACAGCTTAATGGGATCTTGTCCTGAGAGCATCGTGCCCTTTATTCCATTACATTGTGTGTCTCCCTGAACCCTGGATTTCACCCCATTCCACTTCCTAGTGCTCCTTTTCTCCTTAAATTATATATTTTGATTTATCCTTGCTCAGCTTGCATCTTTTCAGTATAAATCTTCTTTTGGATTAACACTAGTAACCACATAATAGAGTCTATACTAGGCTTTTTTTGCGATTTCCTTAGACAATGCAATTAATCCAAAACTCTTAAACCATAGGCAAGCTTTCTGGATAAGAGCAAAAAGCATCTAATTCTTCACCAAAATATCAGGACTGATTGCTAGGCAACATACTAAAATTCTTTGCATCTGAATCCTCTTGAGTCAGGCTCCCACATTTCAAATCACCCTCAGCACCACTGTATTCCGTGCTGCTACTTGTATGGCCATTAAGCAGCACTTAAAGCATTCCACTGCTTTCCTAATGCCAAGTAGCATGGTTCAAATTCCTCCATACAGAAACATGGTCATGCCTATCACAGTAAGACTACAGTTCCTGGTAACTGCTACTGTTCAATTGCTGTGAAGACACCAGGAACACAGCAACTTTTATAAGGAAAACATTTAATTGAAGCTTCCTTACAATTTAAGTGTTTTAGTGCATTATCATCATGGCAGGAAACATGGTGGCATACATGCAGGCATGGTCTTAGAGAAGGAGCTATAGTTCTATACTTTGACCTACAGGCAACAGAAAGTGTACTGTCTACCATACTGAGCATAGCTTGAACAAAAGAAATCTCCACACCCACAGTGGCACACTTCCTTCTACAAGGCCAGACCTACTTCATCAATGCCACACATCCTAATAATGCCATTCCCTTTGGTGGCCATTTTGTTTTAAACAATCACAGGTCCCATGGCACTGTAATTAGAATCAGTTACATTATGTCCTGTTAGTGCTGGGACTGAATCAGTGTGCTCTAGAAGAGCAACCATTACTCTTACCTGCTGAACAATTATTTTCACCACCTCTAGAAAACATTTGTCTTGGAATGATGGGCAAGGATCATTTATGCCATCAAACATTTTTTAATTTCTTAGATCTGTTTTTCCTAAGAAAGCATTTTCTCCAGCAGCACATGGTAAATGAGTAATTTTCCATTACAGGTTCTGACATTCAGGGATGTGGCTGTGAACTTTTCCCAGGAGGAATGGGAATGTCTAGAGTCTGCTTCAAAGGCCTTGTACTTTGATGTGATGTTGGAGAATTACAGCAATCTAGTTTTTGTTGGTAAGAAGTCTCTTCATGAGGAATATCTGCCTTATCCTTGGTATTTGCTTGCTTTTTATTTTTGTAAACTCTGAACAATTTAGAGACTACCATAAATAGGGAAATTTCTGGTAATAAACATAACTTTTTCATTTTTTTGTTACACTATTCTTTGTTCTCTGAAAGAGCCACCAATACTATATATACTGTGTGACCTATGCAGCCCTTCTTATCTGGTATTTAATGAAAACTTCAAAGTTAAAAGAAAGTTGAATATTCATAGCAAAGAAATGCATTACATTATTCTTTGTGATTGGAATGAATTGATATTAATATTGGATTAAACTTCACTTATTTCTGAATTTTAAAAAATACAGGGTTTTAAAATAGGGAAAATGGTTCTAATGTGCATTTTGGTTTTTTTTGTTATTTTTGGGTTTTTTTTCATTTCATTTATTTATTTTAGAGTTTCTGTCTCTATGTTTAGTTTTGGCAGCACAAAGCAGCATGATTTTAATTCTAGCACTAGTGAGACTGAGATAAGTGGATGTGGTGTATTCCTTGCCAGCCTGGGATACAGTGTGTTCCAAGCTGGTGCAGTCTGTACAGTGTGACCCTCTCTAAAACATAAACAGTAAGAAAATAGAGAACTCTTCTACATATGATTCTTCCAAAAACTCCTTTCTCAAAATTTATTACTGCTCAATCATCTATTTGTATTAGTTTCTGAAGGGTTTACAGTTTATATAAGAACAAGAAGGCCACTATCAGTCCTCAGATTTTGATGGAGATTAGATTGTTTTTGAGTATACATATCATAATAATGACACACAAAATGCTTGCCTCTCCTGAGAGCTTTGTTTCTAAGAATTGCTACCTAACTTATGTTACAGAACTTAAGGACACATCAATTATTGAGTCTGTAAACATGCATTTATCCCTTTAAGCCCTATTTGTGTTCATTTTCCAGAGAAATATCGTATATGTGGGAAATATATGAATGTCTTGGATCAAGGATCAAAGCACATTGTCTATCACCCTGTGAATATCCAAGAGAAGTCTTATGAAAATAGTGATATTGGAATATTGGGCCACAAATTCACCCATTGTTCACCTTATAGCACAAGTGATCTTACAGAGAACTGCAAAAAGTATGGATGTGATAACCACGGGGATACCTCTATTGAATCAACAAACCTAAAGAATCGTAAAAGTAGAAACACTGGAGAAGACCCTTGCAAATATAAAGACTGTGGGAAATGGTTACATTTGTGTTCCATCATTAGTCAAAGAATTCACACTGGAAAGGAACTACACATAAATATAGACTATGATAAGTCATTTGACCCCAAACATACACTCATGCTGAAACAGATCTCTAGTGTAGAGAAAATACACCAATGTAGGAAATGTGGAAAGTGCTTGACGGCCTACTTGAGTCTCAGTAGACAACAGCGAACTCATTCTGGAGAGAAACCCTACAAAAGTAAAGAATGTGGGATGTGCTTTTATCTCTTTTATCAGGTTAAAAACCAGTATAAAACCCATAATGGAGAGGGACCTTACAAATATAGTGAATGTGAAAAATGTTTCATCCAGAAAGACCATCTTAGCACACATCCTAAAATTCATACAGAAGAGAAACCTTTCAAATCTAGTGATTGTGAGAAATCCTTTACATATGTCTCCACACTTAGACAACATCAGAGAATTCATACAGAAGATAAACCTTACAAATGTAGTGAATGTGAGAAATCCTTTGCATATATCTCAAGTCTTAGAAAACATCAGAAAATTCATACAGGAGAGAAACCTTACAGATGTAATGAATGTAAGAAATCATTTACACAGGCTTCACATCTTAGAAGACATCAGATTATTCATACAGGTCAGAAACCTTACAAATGTAGTGAATGTGAGAAATCCTTTGCATATATCTCAAGTCTTAGAAAACATCAAAGAATTCATACAGGAGAGAAACCTTTCAGATGTAGTGAATGTGAGAAATCCTTCACACAGGATTCACATCTTAGACGACATCAGAGAATTCATACAGGACAGAAACCTTACAAATGTAGTGAATGTGAGAAATCCTTTACACAGGTTTCAAGTCTTCGGAAACATCAGAACATTCATACATGAGGAAAATTATAAATGTAGTGAATGAGAGAAATCCTTTACACATGCCTCTCATCTTAGAGTACATCAAAGAATTCATTCAGGAGAGAAACTTTACAAATGCAATGATTGTGATAAATCCTTTACACATGCCTCAGAGTACACCAGAGTGAAATCTTACGAATGTAGTGAATGTGAGAAATCCATTACATGCAGCTCAAATTGTAGAAAACATTTCACTAGTCATACAGGATAGAAAATTTTGAATGTACTAAATGTGGCAAAGTATTGATCTTTCTCTTTTAAGAATACTTGAGAAAAGTCATACTGGAGAAAAAAGTTTCCATAGTCAATAATGTAACATATGCTTTATCAAAAGCTCTGTCCTTAGGGATCACTGCACCACCATACATGGTCAACATTAAGAGCATGAGAAATTTGTGCAAGCCTTTAAATAATGTGCAAACCTTACAAAACATTGAGAGTTTATACTGAGCAAGAATTCTGAAAATGTGACAATGTAGGAAAATTTTCAATAAAGCATTTTGCTTTTTCAACCTCAAAAATAGCATAAGAATGAAAAATCAAGATGCTTGTAGACTGCTGTGGTATGGCAAGGGACACATTAAGGTCACAAGAAACAAGAACAGTTCTTACTAGCTGATGTGCCTTTCTTGCTAAAGATGGATTGGTGATCAAAGGCAATGATTAATTTTTTTGTACCCAATTTGCCCTCAGCTTTTTGACATGATTTAATATAATCAGCTGATGAGTGGGTATGCACTCTGAACATTAAAAATAGAGATGACTGGTTATTTTTCATATATAAAAGTCTAGGTTTGTGATTCTTTTAAGATTTTTATAAGGTCACTGCAAGTGTTACAGACCGTGAGGGAAAGGTATCCTGACTTGTTGGGAAGTCAGGCTATACCTGAAGCTGTGAATGGAGGTATCCTGGATACCTACAGCTCTGGAGGGAAAGGTATCCTGACTTGTTGAGAGTTCAGACTATACCTACAGCTGTGAAGCGAGGTATCCTGGATACCTACAGCTGTGAGGAGAAAGGTATCCAGACTTGTCAGGAAGTCAGGCTATAACTGAAGCTGGGATGCAGTGAGGGATGGTCTCACCACAGCATGTGACAGTCCTCCTCTCTGAGAGCCCACCCACCCCCTCCCCCTTAAGGGAGCTTTCCAACAGAGGTAACCATTTCTTCTCCGCTCCCCTAAGGGAGTGTCCCAGCAGAAGTATCTGTTTCTTTTCATCTCCAGCACAAGATGTTACTTCTGCTTCACTCTGCTAAAGGGGAAAGCCCTACAGAAGTGTAGCAATATGCTCTGGCTCCAGCAAAAAGTTGTTACTTCTGCTCTGCTCCCCCTTAAGGGAGCTTCCCAGCAGAGGTACCCCTTTATTCTTATGCTCTGCTCTGCTCCCAAGGGAGCTTTCCAGCAGAGACTCTACTCCTGGCCCGTGAAAGAAGATGTTCACCCAAGAAAGTGACTTATTTGGGAAGGAGGAATCTGGAATAGTGGCTGCTTCTGCTGGGGTGGAGAAGGACAGTTGATAACTGAACAGGCAGAGGGACTTATATAGGGCTTCTTAGTGGTGGGATTTTTCCAGGGAGATGTTCTGCTCAGAGATTGGTTGGTTCCATGTTCAGTTGGTCAGGGGAAGATTTGGCTCTGGTTTCAGGGCCAAACTGTGTTTCTTTCACTAGCCCTTTCTAGCCTTTTGGCTCTAGTTTCAGGGCCAGGGCATATTTCTCTCACTGGCTCTGGTTCCAGGGCCAAACAGTGCCTCTTTGGTTCAGGTTTCAGGCTAAAGTGTTTCTTTCACTGGCTCAGATTTCAGGGTCAGGGTGGGTTTCTTTGGCCCTTTTACCCTACATGTTTTGAGATAAATAATAAAATGATTGATCCTTTCTTTGTAACCACAAAATTCAGCCTGTCAGTAAAAAAACTGGCTAAAAAAGGTACTTTGCTTGCTTATACTTTTTAAATCTATAACAAGTTGCTTAGATATGAATGTATTAGGGACTTTGGAATAATTTGTTTTTCACCTGTAATATGTAAAATGTTTAATCATGTCAGGGAAGTGTTGTTAAAAACATGATGTTTTTAACTAGTATTCATTGTAATCATTTACTTGAAAAATGGAATTTCACCACGTTGTAATTTTTATATTGCTTGAAAATTTTTGCTGGGGTAAATAAGGTGCAATGGAAAAATAAAGACAGGATGAAGGAAGATATCAGGAAAGAGTTAAAAGGAAGACATCAAGGAATAATTAAAAGAAAGAAATCAGGGAATATTTACAAGGAAGACATCAGGAAAGAGATAGAATGTAAACAGCAGATAAGAGGTAAGGGGGAAAAAAAGAGAGACCCTGACATGTTGAAGGTGTGTATCTGTGTGTATGTGAGTGTGTGTTTGTGTGTTCCTTTCTTCACCAGCCCCAGAGAATTAAGTTTTGCTCCCTTAAATAAAATGTCAAGTGTTTTTTCAGTCCGCAACTCAATGCCTCCTCTTCAGTTTCTGAGCTGCTGATCACTAGCCTTACAGCAGCAGCTAGTTTCCTTCTGGCAATCAGTAGATACCTGTAGTCCTTTGTTTTGCTGATGGGAACACATGAAGTTTTTCCACTTTCACATTAACGTTTTAGTTTATGCATCATTTTCTAGAACATACTGTTTCACAGAAGACTTCCTCATTTTTGAGCAGTTATATTATCTCTTCCTCCACCATTTCAGTGAGCTTCCTTGAGCTATACATGCAGGAGCTGTGATGTAGCTATGTATTTGGGGACTGAGCCTCCCACATGCTCTTCAAATCTGCACTGTCAGTTGAAGATTTCTGTAATGGCCTCATTTTTCTGTAAAGAGAGGCTTCTTCATTGAGGGATGATACCTACACCTCTACATGTGTATCACAATCAGATATAGAATACAGTTAGGAATTATGCTTGTCTACACAAGTAGATGTAGGAGACTCTACCTTAAGGTCCATGACTTCACTAGCCCTGAGAAATTGGCTAAGATTTCCAGTACCAAGCAAGATTTCCTTCTTGTTGGGTGCACCATAAGTATAACTGGACAATTGTTTGCTGCCTCTGATATATGAGTGCCACTCAGTTGTCCTATATACATATCTTGAAATGCTGGTAATTGTCCTCTTTTATAGGTATTGCAACTGGGCGTGACTGTTTAGAGCATCCTTCCTTCAGCAGCACAACATTTTCTGGAAGCATGGTAGCAAGAATTAGGGAGAGAGGCTTTCACATCTGACCCTGCATAAAGGATCTGAATCCTGAGTCCTAGCTCATAAATATCAACAATAAGGTCACACTTTCAAACCACAAGAGACAATTTAAGCTAAATCTATATTCTATTTTTTTTCAGAGTTCAGAGCCACTTGGGCTACACTGGCCTTTTGACAGGAGTATTCCCATATCCAGTATTAGGTTATTTGTTAGTTTATGGTTCTTATGACAAGCATTGCCAGTCCAAATGATGTAACTTGGTTATATGCATATCTATATGCATACATACAATCAATTGTGTGTGTATGCAATTTTATAGTATTATATAACAAAGTAACTAAAAATATGAGTTTTGGATACTATAATTTATTCCTCATTCATCCTCCTTGACTGAACTATCACTTTATTTACTACTTGGAGTACACTCACTGTTATTCTTTTTCCCACTTCATATTACTTTGTTCTATTATTCACACCCCAACACACATCTAGGGTATCTTTAACAGTACTGGTTTCTGTAGTTATTCCATGTTGCATACTCACATCTATGGATTAATTACTAAAAACCAACATTCAGGAAATATATTTCTAATAAACTAATTTGTCCATTCTAAATGAATCCTTAACTTTATATTGTCTTCATGTATTTAAAGGACACTCTTGCAAAATAAATATGAGATATTTAGGAAGATATCTAATATAACCTATTTAGAACCATTTTATTCAAATTTTACTTTAGTTATTGATAGTAAACTTTGGTAGACTCTATAAACAAAAGACATTTTTATTCTTTTCTAAATTTTGTTTTATTTGTAACTTCCAATATGTGTATGTCTGCATATGAAGTTGAGAATAAAGTATCTGTAAATTCATTCAGGCTGCCCTGCATCTGGACTTGTAATTTTTAGTGTCTCTATTGGAAACACAGGGGAATATTTGTACACATTTTCACTTTACTTTATGTTTGAATCAGTTTGGGATGTTACATATACATATATTTAACACTATATTTAGGAACAGAAGAGGAACAAAAGGGAACAAAATCAAAGAACCAAGCATAGGAATATATAAATTTAACCATTTAATATTGGGCAAAGATGGCAAAAAAAATCTAAAGAAAAGAATACATTGTTTACAAATGATACTAGAACACCTAACTATCTGCATGAAGAATGAAATCTTCTGTTTATCAACCATCACAAAAATTAGATCCAGGTGGACACAAGAACTCAATTTGAAACTGCAAACACTAAAACTTATGTAAGATAGCATTGGCAGTACCCTTTAAGATGTAGGTGTAAAATAGACATTCTGAGCAGAACTTCACCTGCCCAGAAAATGAGTTCAACAATTGTCAATTGTAAATTGTCAATTTAGTAAAAGGTGAAACTACATTAGACAATTGCAGCCACTATGTAAATCTGTGTAGAGAACTATCAAAAAGGTAAAAATGAGTACCATATGAACCACCTTTGTCTACTCCACAGATTCTCCATGCCATGTTGCTCTATTCTCAATAGCTTGGAAATGGGAAAAACCCTAAATGCTAATTAACTAAGGAATAGATAATCAAAATGTGATAAAAATCACTGTGGAATATTTTTTCAGTTGTAAGTAAAATGAAATAATCAACTTTATAGGTAAATGGATGGAAGTGTATTAAATGTAGTTGAATGCAATTACCCCATCCTAGAAAGGCAGAGATAAAATGTTCTCTTGCATCTTTTTCTAGTTCTAAATCTTTAGAGATGAGCACATATCATAGGGTAACTACAAAAACCAGAAAAGTGAAAAGATGTTTTATGGTATAGGGGTCAGGAAGCAATAGACAAGGGAATAGCAGCCTATAAGTGATAAGATCAGAGAAATGTGTTAAGGGGACTCTGTGTACAGAGAAGGGTTGGAAATAAATACCAAAGGAGGGAGGATTAATCATATCTAAGTAAGTCATAACAATTAACACTATTAAATATTTCCCTTCCCCCAAACATTATAACATATGTAACTCTGAGTATAAATCCACATATATACTTTACAGAACATATTCTAATCTGTGCTGATGTTGCTTGATCCAAGAGCTAAGGGTCATCTAATAAAAACCCCAACATTAGCCATAAGAAGCCCTTGAGTTTGTGATCATGGCTTTCCAAGAGACTCCCAAAACATTACAAACTATTGCTACTGCCATGCTTGCCTCCCTCTAATGGTTGAAATCAAAACCCTAATTCCAAAGACACCATGCAGTTCAGGTGAAGGGACCTGAGGTCTCTGAGCCTGAACTGACCTCAATGTTTCCTCGCTAAAGATATGATTCCATTATTCCAGATATGACATACAAAGTTCAAAGGAGGAAAGCAATCAAAAGTACCCCCAGCTATGATTCTTATGAACCATAAAACAACCAGCATATCACAATACCCAAAGAGTACAGTAGTGACAAGCATGACTAACAACAGTAACTAACAGCTCTGTAATTGCATTTGAGATCCTCTAAAGATGAGTAACACTATGTCTAGTATTAATTTCTAGCCAACTACCAGGATTTGTGAAGTCTTTATACTTGGATAAGTACATACACTCTCCAATTTATTAAAGTAGCAAAATCCCTAACTATACTCTAAAATGTTTCCTATTCCCATAGAATAATATATTCCTTCTTCTCAAGGAAACTTCACTTTGCAACAGATGGAGACCAGTATACCAAACCAATCAAAGTATAGCATTTTGGAATCCAGGTCAAATGGATACATCTACCAAACAATTTCCACACCTGATGCTCAGGGAACATTGCAGAAGATTGTGTAGAAAGATTGTGAGAGCCAAGGAGTATGCTGTAATAGTGTATCTCTTTGTAATTTGTAGGCTACACCCATGAAGTCTAACTAAAATGGCTGCTTAATCATGGGGTGAACAAGGAAAACCACAATAAGCATGGCAAGGTGGATTGGGAAAGACAGGGAGTCCTCAACCCCCTAAAAACAACTGTTTCTTGTTCTAAACTTTTCATTTCCAAAAAGACAATTAAGAAACAACCTCACCCCCACCACCACCAGTTTACCCAATTGATGTAATCTATTCCCCCTTCCCAGGGTGATCTATGTGTCCCTCTTAGGGTCCTCTTTGTTATCTAGTTTCTCTAGGGCTGTGGATTATAGCCTGGTTATCCTTTGCTTTACATCTACTATCTACTTATGAATGAAAACATATTGTGTTTGTCTTTCTGGGTCTGAGTTACCTCACTCAGGATGATTTCTTTCCAGTTCCATCCATTTGCCTACAAATTTGATGATGTCATTTTTTTTTTTTTACAGCTGAATAATACTCCATTGTGTAAATGTACCACTGTATGGTAAATTGTATCCATTCTTTGATTGAGGGGCATCTAGCTTGTTTCCCAATTCTGGCTATTATGAATAATGCTGCTATGAATATAGTTGAGCAAGTGTCCTTGTGGTATGATTGGGCATCCTTTGGGTATATGCCCAAGAGTGGTATTGCTGGGTCTTGAGGTAGATTGAATCCCAATTTTCTGAGAAACTGAAATGCTGACTTCCAAAGTGGCTGTACAAAATTAGAACATAGATAGAATGGTCAAATTGGGGGAGGGATGGAGAGGGGTAACAATGAAAGAGATCTTGATAGAGGGGGCCATTATAGGATTAGGGAGAAACCTGGTGCCAGGGAACCTCCCAGAAATCCACAAGGAAGACCCCACCTGTGACTTCTAGCATTAGTGAAGAGGATGCATGAACTGGCCTTCTCCTGTAATCAGATTGGTGACTACCTAATTGTCATCATAGAATCTTCATCCAGTAACTGACAGAAGTAGATGCAGAGATCCTCAGCCAAGCACTGGACTGAGCTCTGGAGTCCAGTTGAAAAGAGGGAGACAGGATTGTATAAGGAAGGGGGTTCAAGATCATGACAGCACTTGTGGAAGCTCATAGACTAGACTGACATCTAAGGATCCTGCTTGGGACAGACCTAGGCCCTCTGCATGTTGTATAACTTGGTCTGTTTGTAGGGCCCCTAGTGTGACCAGGATCTGCCCATGGTGCATGAGCTGGCTTTTTGGAGCCTCTCCCTATGGTGGGATGCCTCACTCAGCCTTGATGCGGGGGTGGAGCTTGGTCCTGCCTCAACCTGATATGCCATGCTTTGTTGACTTCCATAGGAGGCCTTACCCTTTCTGAGGAGTGGATGGGGAGGTAGAAAGGAGGTGGTGGGAGGGGATGGGAGAAGAGGAAGTAGGGGAAACTGGTTGGTATGTAAAATAAATTATAAAAATTAGTAATAAAAAATAAATAACCTCCCATTCCAATTAGTTATCTAATACCAAGGATTAAGCCCTGAAAGTATACATACAAGGAACATTATATATACATAGTTGCCAATATTTCATAATATATTTGAACATACATGTATCCTGTGATTAAAAAAAAATGAAATACAGCCTATAAATTTTTAAGAGAAAAATGTGCCAATTTTATTAATATATAAAGATCACCTAGTAATCAAACAACGATAAACAGTAAGTACACAAACAGGAACTTTCCAGAAAAGATGACAGAGCAGACTTTTCCAGAGCAGGAAACCATTCAGTTTACCATAACAAGAGAAGAACTTGAAATGCTGTGGGGTTAGAACTATCAGACTTCAATGATCATGCACTGTGATGGTAAAGATAAGAGAAAGTAACTTCTCCCAACTACATACATTATCAGATAGTAGTAATAATGACAGCAAAGACTTAAAAAAAGCCTACTTTTATCAAAAGGTACTGATTGAATACATATGGAACAACTCTAAATAGAGATGAAATGCAGTTGCTTAAAAACACTCAGAATGTGTTGTGAGTGCTGATATTAAGCAGTTACAAAGATATGTTGTCATATATAGAAAAGTGACATATACGCATAGCATACTAATTTGTGTGTGCATATGTGTATGTGTGTGTGAAGGTCTCTGTCAACAAATCTCAAACATTATTCCACCAAAAAGCTCTTGTACTTTTAAAAGTTACCAAGACACAAAGATTATCTTAGAAGGTTCTAGAAAATTCAAATATATACAAACATGCATTCTACTAGCTGTCAGGTTGATAATACCGTCAAATAGCATGTGGCTTCTGAAAAACTCTCCTGTGTGTCTGAGAGAGAATAAATATGAAGTAGGTGAATGGTGTGTTGGTATTACTATGAAAATAAATTTGACCCTTGTGGATTCCATAAAAGAGTCATGAAGAGCCCTTACCTCAGAAGTCTGTGGTCCATACACTGAGGACTGCCAACCTACATCTCGGGGGTTGTCTTTGCATAGCAGAGTTCTGCATGAGTATTTCTGAGTGGGTAAGAATTATTGCCTCTGGAAAGTTAAATTTGGAGAACTGGATAACCCTGCCTGGATGAAGATGTATTTTCCACTATGGAACCTTGGGTGACATTTCAATTCTATGCCCATGACTGAATTCATTTTTTAAAGAAAATTTTTATTCATGTTGCATAACAACTGCAGATCTTCCTCTCTCCCCTCCTCCCGCCCCTCTCAGCCTTCCTCCCCCAATCCACCCTCCATTCCCTCTTCCAAGAAGGTAAGGCCTCCCATGGGGAGTCAGTAGAGCCTGGTACTTTCAGTTGAGGCAGGTCTAAGCCCCTCCCCCTGCATCAAGCCTGTGCAAGATGTCCCACCATAGGCTCTAGACTCCAAAAAGCTACCTCATGCACCAGGAACGGATCCTGATCCTACTGCCAGGGGGTCCCTTAAGCAGATCAAGCTATGCAACTGTCTTGCTTATGCAGAGGGCCTACCTAGTCCAGTCCCATGGCGGATCCATAGCTGTTGGTCTAAAGTTCATGAGTTCCCACTAGCTTGG